TTAGTTTAACTATAATATTATTCGAAACACGAATTTAAAAATATACGAAAAAATAAGTAATAATAACAACCTTATTTGAAATGTTCAAGAAGGTTCTTATTTTAATATATTATATGCATTCATATAATAATATTTATTTTTTATTTTTAACTTTTTTTCAATAGATATTTTGATTCCGATATGAATTGAATACATTTTAAGCTTTAGTTAAAATATTAGTTTGTTATGTAAAAAATTATACTTTGGCAATACTAATCAGTTGTTCGCCCTGTTTACCTCAGCTGTATAACATATTTCAGTTATGAAAAAATTGACTGTATTATATTATACAAATTACTTATACATATTACTCATAAAACAATAAATTCAAATAATTATCAACATTTGTTTATTTTGTTTTCCGATAACACGAGAATAATATAAGCCTACTGTAAGTGAAAAAAATGATATAGGATTTTTTCCCGATTAAAGTAAGTGTTTTACAACTCAATTGGTAAAAAATAACCACATTTTAAAATAAATGCTCCTATATAATATATTATATATATGATTTTCGTTCCCACAAACGCCCTCAAGCCATTATTTTTGGTTTTTGAAAGTTAAACACATATATCTATTTTTGAAGTATTATTTGTACAATCAATTTTCGGCTCAAGTTCACATTAAAACCAACTAGAAATGTTCTGGAGTATAGCTGTATGGTTCATCGCCATCCATTGTCCGAACGGAGTGAGTAGTACTTCCGATTAAGTGTCTCGTTATATTACGAAGAAAAACGGTGCTCGAACGTGTATGACCGCCAAACAACGCGAAATGGAATCACACACTACAATTACAATTCTCGAGGCACATGCATCAGACAATTCGTCGTCGCATCGTTGTCTCTTATTGTTCAATACTAAACTCCCACTTTTCTTTTGGACAAATATCGAATATCACAATTGGAAGTTTCGTATGATATATAATACGTTCAAACTATATCAATTGGCTCACTCAGTGTATAGTGAGACCAGTACGAGTCAGCGTCGTTGAAAAAAAGTAGTTTTTCAAAGTTTTCGATGAAGTTCTATGCACACAAATGGCTTTATGGCGAACAAGTTTAATGTTGAATGGTTTTTCCAAACGTATTTTCGCGAATTGTTAGGTTTCTATCATATAAACATATTATCATGGGCCTGTTATATTTTTCTCGGCTATTAATGTAAAAGTAGACATGAGAAAATGTATTATAATGGGGAAAACTAAATTGGTGAATCCATTTAATTTAGATTTTTGTTTATATGTGAAGCCGTGTTCAGCTGGATCGTTTTTTGTCCTCAGAATTAATCGTCACACCTGAGGTTTTTTATGCATATTATACATAGGTTGGTATACCCGATTGATCAATATTATTATTATACGGTCCATGCGAGATTTTAATTATATTTAGAAGTAATAATTAAAGTATAAAATAAGGATTTTAAGAATTACTTAGGTACTGTCAGTAATTATGATAGGTATTCGAAAACATTATCATCGAAAATTTCACAAAATTGTCCACTATAATTTTGTGGTGCTTTGTTACTGCTAAACTTGTTATAATGATGACTATGCAAGTAGAAAGTCACGTCCTTAGATTATTATCTGGTGATACGTTTTAATATCTCAAAGTCATACCTCGAACAATGCAAATCTCCTTGAAGAACTGTTTAAACTTGAAACCCATATAACAAAATAATTAAACTTTATGCGAAAGGTGTACGTAAATCGATGTAAATATACTTTATTGAATAATGCATTTCCATTTTGATAATTGAGTATTAATTCGGGTCGTGTTCAGGTGAAATGTGTTTCTAAGTCAACGGCTTTAATAGGTTTGCGGCCACTAAGGCATAATTCAACACTAGCTGGTTATTACAACTGAAGACTCTTCGCTGTGGAATGGTGACAGTCCGTTTAATCTCACCATTATTATGGTCTGTCAAATGACTCCATAAAATATTAGGTTCTATGTATTATCTTGTTTTAAAAATTATGTTATATTTATTTCATTTATGACTTATTTCTGCTCAACAAATTTTCTATAAAATAGAAACACATGTTCATTTTTCATTTCTCAAATGGATACTCACGATATGCAGTACCTACATATATTACATAATATCTTGAAACTTCATAAAGATTAATACGCATATCTAATGAAGTTAAGTAAAGATTTTAACAATAATGTACAAGTTTGTGAAATTATTGGAAGATTTCCCTATCATGTATGTGCAAGAAGTTATTTTATTATAAGTTTAAATGATTGGTTAAAAATGTCCTTAGTGTCCTGAAGTCATCCTATATTTTCTCTATGTGTATGTATTCCAGACGATGACTGAATGACTCTTGCATAGAAAGTATTTTGAGCTCAGTTTTTCTTTGTAATATAACGTACTACGAAGAAAAGCGGCACTCGAAAGTATTTTGAAATGATATTATTATCACTAAATAACCCTGACTATTTCCATTTTTAACATTTATTGTTGCCAGTGACCCAATTATTTCTTAACTTTGTTACATTATAAGTTACCGTAGATTACACCTCAACACTTGAAGTCCAATATTAAATATGTTTGGTTACAGACATCTTACATCTTACTTCATTTGCGAATTTTTTTTTATTTCAAAACATTCAAAAAACAGTAGGTATTCATTTTCATATTATTATATTGTTTAAATCACTCGACAAAGGTTTCACTTAAATAAGCGCATTTATATTCAAATACCTATAGCATATGACTAAAGTGAATCAGGAAAACTACGAAATGAGTTCATGCTAAAAATAGTTGGTAACGAAATCATCATTTTCAATTCCATATATAATTTGAGGTTTTCAAGTAACAAAAATCCATTCCGGGGGTATTTTATTTCTATATAATTTATCGTATCAAATACTTAATAATAATATTTAAAAAAATGATTTAATAATTTCAAACTTTTTTTTTAAGTACCTACCACTGTTATACGAAGCACTTCGCCTAGAGCCTAGGGCATTGGTTCTCAACCAATGTGCCGTGGCACACTACTGGGCCGTGAGATCGACTAGATGTTCCGCCTAAAATATCATACATGTATAGGCTCGTTGCTATATTTATTGCCTTCGGTGAAGTTTCCAAAGTTGTTGTGGTTGTCAAGTGTGTGCCGTGAACCAAAATGGTTGAGAACCACTGGCCTAGGGCCTTCTCCTCAAATTAATTTCGAACTTGAAGTAAGCCGGGCACTTAATTTTAAATTAAAGAATAAATACACATATTTATCTATTGTTCATACTTAAGTTTCATTTTATATTTTCAATTTTATGTTTAATGGTAGCGGTAAATTATATTGTAAAACATAATCAAATTACGGTAGGCGGATCGAAAGTGATTTATGTCAACTATGTAGAATAAAATATACATGCATAATAAGTATACTGTGTTATGTTTGTATGATATTAATATAATGCTTTTATTATTATCGATCACTATAAATTAAAATAAACTATAAAATAAATATATTCCAATAGTAACATATAAATAATGTTTGATGACTGAAAAAAATAAAATAAAAATAATCATTTTTTTTATTTTATACGTCTACTTAAGATAAATATGTATATTTTTTAATTGATTCAATTATTTTGGTAGTAAATAAAATAAGACTATTTAAATACACAATCATTTGTTTTTTTGGTAACCTTCATCATTATATGGATAGATAAAGGCATAGAAGGAAGGTGCATTACCATCAAAAAGGGATAGGTGGAAAGCGGTTCCCAAGTACGTGGCCCTTTTAATAGCATTTGTGAAAGGGGTGGCACTACCTGCCTTATTCCGTGTTAACCCTACGATGGATGAACAGAGAGAGGAGGTAATAAAGATGAATTGTGCGTTACAAAACGTTGCATGGTGATGGCAGGGAAAGTGGACAATGATAGAAAGAGACTCGTTGGTATACCACACCCGGTAACGTGTCCCAGGCGGGCCGTTGTACTCGTACACGAATGCCAAGAATGTTAAATACCCCTCCAACCGGCTACCACACCAAATCCTTCTAACAAAATGGGCTGTCAAGGGAATATAAAATTTAAAACAATTCCCATTATGACAATCGAAATGCAATTGATTATAGGTAGATCATTAATTTTAAACATTTAAAATTTAGTACGACGAATACAAAAATAATATGAAATGATGAAATCATCTTAATTATAATTTCTTTACTACTCTAGTCTCAAATTATATTATATTGAATATTTTTGAAATATTTTAATATGTTTGATGATAAATATACATAATATATTGCCATGTTCAACGTAAACCTTCATTATTTCTATTTTTAAACGTTCAAATTTTTAAACATTAACGATTGGTACAATTTAAAATGTAAATTGTATTGGTTTTACAAATATGCATACAGTTAATAGATCATAAAATAAATACATAAATATTTTTATATTAAAGTAGCTACAGTTATATAATCTGGTATAAATTAAGAAAATTAGTATTCTGGGAAAGCTTAGAAGAAATAATAATAATACACTTAAATACTTAATTATGTTCATAATACCCAAGAAAAATGTATTATCTTTTCGTTTTAAGTATTACAGTTCTCAAAGAAATGTTATACCTTTGTGTCTGCACCTCAAAGTGTTTCTATAATAGAAGGTTGAGAATTGCATGTTTTGTGAAATCTTGTACAAAGGAAACGTGTTAAATTAATTCGTTAATTATATTCATAGTTACAATATGAACTATTCTTACATCAACTATTTACGTTTCTTTATTGCCAACATATTGATATCAAACTTTCAACACAATATCAACCCTAACTTATAATTTATATTCACAATTATTGTTTTCGTTATTTTGATTTTTATACAACACCTATAATTTGTAAGTACTTATATCATATATATGTTTCAGTTCCTATATAAGCATATTGCTAGTCAACTATAATATCTAATAAAACTACATGCATAGTATACAACAAAGTATTACCTGTATTTCTCAATTGACTGTATATCTGAAATATAAATAAATTAACAATAAATTAATAAAATAATACAAATATAATTAACTATGATTTAAAGCTTGAATATATAATATAAAAAAAAGATTAAACTATATTATTTGTAGCGATCATGATTAATTAACTTTATTTCACAAACTTGATATCACAGGTTAATTAGAATTATATAACAATATTATTGAAACTTTCCAAATTCAACCTCGTCGATATAATATACATACATACTACGAATCTCTGAAGGTATTCGAATATTTGTTTTAATAATACTTTATTACACTTAGAAATTTAAAATTTAACTAATATTAGAAGAAACGTAAACTTCAATATTTAACATTTGTATTTGCATCACACCATTAAGAATAAAAATTTGTTTATTTTTTTCAAATCATTGTTTTATGATCAAATCTCAAAATATTATATAATTGTTGCATAACAAAATATATTTATTCAAATTTTAGATATTATCTCATTTTTATTCACGGATTAGGACACGCAAGAAATACATTATTATAATATTATCTAGGTACTGAGTATAATTGATTTAACCAGTAATCCCAATTCTCATCTTTATATGGCAAAATAGTTCAATAATACATATATTACGTACCTATATTACAAAATTATGTATATTGTATTAATATTGATTTTATGTATATGACATAAATAAACATTTTTGAGTAAAATTAAACACACAATATTTAATTAATCTTAAGTGTGACACAAAGAAAACATTTAAATTATACTTGACATTATATTTACCTAAGCTAATGAAGTAATTAAAACTACTTATTATAGTTATTGTAGTTGGACGGTGAGTCTTAAACTTTCGTCGCTTTGGTCATTTCATTGTACATTTATAATTCAAAGCGGAGTAAAAGGATAATGTAAATGTATAGTTGTAAGTCGTATTTTCAATTATGAGTTTTTGGGTAATAAAAATTTCGAATTATTTTATGCATCAACTTTTCTATATTGAAATTGAACGTCATGTATTGTACTTTAGTATCGACTTTTATAATATGATCAAATCAAAAAACCGAAACAACTGCAATGCCCCGTTCATTGCATAACAGATAGTAAAAAAAAGTAGGTGTATAGTATAGTATGTTTTGTTAATGCAATAATAAATCATGGCATAGTCTTAACCTCTCTGGCCGGAGTTTGATCGGTTAAAACCACGATGCTGAATTTTATCTTAAATAACTCTGTAATTACCGATCAATATTTTTCTTACACTTCAAAACTGCACTACTTTTTGATAACATTAAAATCTATCTTTAAAAAAATAAATAGGTTTGATATTTTAAGGTTGTTATATGTGACATTATTGATCAGTTATTCAAATCAACTCTCAAAAGTGTTTATTGAAAAATATGAAAATCAATTAATAAGACCTAAGCAAAATAAACTCCAATGTACCACGATTACAACAATTACAATGCATATTATATTATGTACATTTTTACATTAATAAATTTGAAATTAATGTAAATATTATTGAGAACAAAATGGAGCTCATATCCAATGTATATTTTACAATATTAGAACCAAACCTAACCTAAACAACTTTATTCAAATTTTCAAAAATTTTAGTTAAGATATTAAAACGTTCACTGCTACACGCATATTTCTAATCTGATGCCACACGCTGCGTATCTACGGATAACATACGCGGGACAATAATAGTATAAGAAAAAAGCGGTAAATAAAAAACCAACTGAAAAGAATTTTCTTTGAATACCTATGTTAGATTCAGAAATAATAAAGCAGTACCTCTATGGCCGAATTATTATAGGAGAGTATTTTTAATATGCATTGTGACGATCACGGATCGGCGGTGACCAGAAACCAACGCCGATCCGTGATCGGCAGTGGAGGCGAATGTGTTAATAAAACTTTCAGTTAAGACCGTAAAAAAAAATACTTAGTGTATGTTGTAAGTATACTACAGTTTTTTTTTTTAGTAGAGAAAGGGGGTAATAATGTTTGAAACATATATAATTATTAAAACACAAATTTTGAATAGGTCAAAATAAAAAAAATACTATAAATTATCAGTTATTTTTTTATTTATTGAGTATGCAATATGATACATTCACAATAACAAAAAGAGACAACTTGTACGTAAAAATGTAGAACCTAGCTACATCTGTACACCTGTCGTACAGATAAAATATTTTCACTTAATTATGAAACCGGATGGAGTAAGTACATCAATCTCCACATAAAAGTTAGTAAAAAAAATGTCCCATTCAGAAATTAGAAACCTAGGAAATATTTAACATCAATATCACTCCATCCTAACTTGCCATACGTGGAAAACCTTATTACACATGTCCAATCTAAAACCGTTCCCATTTTCAAAGTTATTACATTGAAGAGTTTTTTTAATTCAGTTGCATTCTGTACTTTTAGCAAATTTTGACCTTTGAAACCCTTAGGGGGTCTGTTATCCCATGGTTTTCAAACTTTTTGATTATGGTAAAGAAAAATAATCAGTGATCATTACTCGGAAAAACGCACAATAAAGCAACCGTAAACTCATTGAGATAGGTAATACATAACAAAATATATCTTTTCTAACAATAAAAATGTTTAAATATAACATATCCTTTAAATCTCATTGAAAATATTCAATATCTACATAATTGTATTGTAAACAATAAAAACATATGTATAATAAATTATACATTTTATTTTTAAAATTAAAATTTTAACTTAATAGGTACTGTTATTATATGAATAAAAATTATAAATTACAATATTAATTTAAGATATCATGCGTTTTATAACCACATGTTTTTTATTTTAAAGGGTTAAATACCCTCGGCAACATGGGTTAATAAATAATTTAATTAATTACATATATTATTGTCTACTTTGTCTAATTTCTCTTAATTGGTTTTAAATAATGGTTTGAAGTTGCAACATAACATTAATAGCCAGGGCCGTATTTAGGGGGGAGCAATAGGGACATTTGCCCCGGGCGGTAAAATATTGATCTATTTAGGGGGCGGCCGGGCCCCCAGCGGTAACTCGGTGCAGTATTGTATCAATAAATTTTTTTTTTTTTTGAAAAAATTTGTATTATGACTCGCCCCTTGTGAACTTTAAAGTACAACGATAACGGAAAAGTGCTAGCGCCTAGCATAAAATATAATTAATATTATTTTAACATAACCACAATCATGACTTAACCATAAAGAATTATAACTAAAAATGTGTTAAGAAAAATCAAAAAAGTAGATATATTTTTTGGTTGGGGAGGCATAAAATTGTGGTTGATTCAAGGCGTGAAAAAATGTAAGTACGGCCCTGTTAATAGCTCCCTATTAATATTGGTTATTTCTATTAATTATTATAGTTCCCGCCTCATTTGCGATAGTATATGGAAAAAAGGTATCTATATAGACTTGAAATGATACACACTTTAAGATGACAAATAAATCATAATTATCCAAACAATTTACTTCAACACTATGTAACACAAAAGAATTCATCTTTAAAATAATTGTATAAAAATAATTTTAATTGACAAGCATGATTCGATATCTATTCGATAAAGTAGTCTGACTATATTTCCTTTACATACACGTCATATACACATCAATTTAAATTGAAAACAACTTTGTTTTTCTTCTACATATATAATAAGTGTTCATCTTTTTTGTATATTATATATAATATAATATTCCTTTATAATATATTAATAAATGTGATAATGTATTAATGTAAAAAAATAATTGTATAAAACCCATAATATTGGAATCAAATTGGTATTCAGAGATATTTATTATTTTTTCTTCCTTAAAATGGTAAGATCAAAAGATCAAAACCATAGTGATTTTAATGCTTTAGTGAACCCAATCATAGCATAAAATAAAGCATCCACACAGAACATGATATAAATTACTTTTTGTAGTTTATTTAAACCTTTATATCAATAAATTGGTATATTTTTTATTCATATTAAAGAACCATTATGTCAGCAAACCTAATCCAATTTTTCTCAACATCATAAGATTATATTTATATGTATACCATACCTACAAATATTAAGATATGACTGAAAGATGAACAAAAAATATATACCAGCAATAATTAAAGCAAAAAGTGATTATGAGTTATATGCTGAAGGTGTAATGATAACTAAGAGCCGGTAATGTTTAATTGATTTTTTTATACTATATATTTTTAAATGTTGTTATATTTGATTGGACACAGTTGATATCATTGGTATACATTATAAAGTACCTAATATTGTTTCCAATTTTTCTCTTCAGAGATCCTAATCTTTTGTTCGTGTTAAAATAAATCAGAAACTGGATTATTTTTGGTCAAAATACTGGATTTGAACTACAAATCGTCTTAGATAAATAACAAGTAGAAATTATGCACATAAAATTAGATAATACTTTTTTATCTATTCTTAATATAATTTTATATAATTTTTACCTTCTTGCTGAAGTATAATTTATATTAAAATGTAAAAAGCCAAAAAGCCAAAAAGCCTAAAATTATTGTCAAATATGACATAACAAAATAAATAACTCGTAACTAATAAACTATAAATAACTCTATAAAGTATCAATCAGTTAGTAATTTTAGAGGTTTAATATCAAAATAATATCATTCTCACTCGTCTCATTCACTAATCAATATAATGTAAATTAAACATAACAAACTATGTTGAACAGAAACTGCATAGACTTGTCAAATAATACCATGACGTATTATAATATACTGCTTATCCTTTGGCTTCTGATAAGGTGATATGAAACGACTATCAAAAAATAATTTGCAGTGCCTCAAAAGGTAATATCACAATGAACAGTAAACCTACGAATATAGAATATTCATACATACTCCGATACTCGTGTGTTAATTGATAAAAAATTAGTTCTAAATATTTACAAATGGGAGATCAAGCGCTACTATTTTGTAGGTCTGTTTTTTATAATCACTTCGTAAATAAATTTGAAAGCCTTTTATCA